TGTGTTTGGAGCTTTTCAACTCCTGGAAGCTTTAGTGGTCATTCTGGAGCCACCATGTACTTAAACGTTGGGGCCCAACTCTGTGACACCTCTGGGAGAAGGAGCCAAGGCCTGAGCAGAGTGCACAAAAAGACCCTCGACTTTAGGAGGAAATCAGGCCTGTGCCTGCAAACAAGTAGGGAAGTGTGAGAAAGGTAGTTTAAATCAAAGGAGGAATTTACAGACTTCATGCAAATGGGAGGAACTATTCTTTTGGGGGCAACCCTGTTCGGGCAAGCAGGACAGGCACCAATCTCAGGTAGGCACATACACTCCTAGTCCTTTCTTTTTTTCTCTCTCTCCCTCCCTTCCTCCTGTCCTCAGCTTTTTCCCTACCTGGGAAAGATGATTTCCAAAAGTGTGAGCCCTGTGGCTGGTCCTTGGTGCAGTACACCTGGCTGTTCCACCCGTTGGCCAGCGTCCAGGACTGGTAGCCCTCCATGGAGATGTATGCCTCGTGCCGAGGCTCCCCGGAGCCGAAGGTAGACACCATGTCGATATAGCCAGGCACGTGCTGGTAGGGGCTCGTGTAGCCCTGGTAAAAGGACACCTCCTTGGCTCTCGTGGGCACCTCGTTGGTCGGTACGCTGCTGCTTGCCAGGCCCGTTACGTCCATGTACTTCTCCACCGGGAAGCCTCCCAGCGAGGCGTGCGGCGACGACTTGAGAGCATTTTGCTGTAAGCCCACGCTGTGTGACATGCGGCAGCTATAGTAGCCGTTGCCGAAGTGGTAGCCATAGCCCAGAGCTGGGGCTCCCGGGGGCGCTGCAGCGGCCGCCCCGGGCGTCGGGCACTCTTTGGCGGAGGGAGCCTCTGGGCGCGTTGCGACCACAGCAGAAGATGACGACGACGAGGCGGAGCCCGCGCGCTCAGAGGTCCCCGGGTAAGCGAAGCCCGAGGCCGCCGCCGCTGCCGCCGCTGCCGCCGCAGCCGCCGCACGCCCGGAGGGTGTCCCGGCGAACACTGGCGCCGAGAGGAAGCCGCGACACTGGCCCGGAGCCGCCGCCGCCACAGAGGAGGAAGAGGAGGCGGGGGCCGCCCCAGCGGCCCCGCTGTCTGCCCGCAGGCCGTCCATGTCCCAGCTCCCGGCGCGGCTCATGGCCCGGCCTGGCCCGGCCCCGGCCCCGGCCCCGGCCCCGCGCAGGACACCATGGCGCGGCGAGCCTCCTCTCGCCTCTCCTTTCTCTCCCGTTCTCCCGCTCCCGCCCTCTTCCTCTTGCCCTCTCTCCCTCTGCGAGCCTCCCGCCTCCAGCCGGCCCGCCCTCCAACAGGTTAGCTCATCGTGGGACGTTTATAAAAACGAAGTTCATGTTGGGAGGGGGCTTGGGCCGGTCGGGGGGCCGCCTTCCTCACGCAGGGCTCCCGCTCGGGGCCGTGCCATTGGCTGCGCGGGGCCACGTGGGGGTGGGGGCGCGGGAGAGCTTGGCTCTGGGTCCCGGCCTGGCTGGACCCACCCACCCCGGCCCCTACCCCTCCCGAGCCCCCTGGCGCAGCCCACCGCCCCGGCCCATCCTCCCCCGAATCCAGGCGTTTGCGCCGCAGCCAACCCCCACGAGCTGATTGCGCGACCGCCCATCCTAGGCCCTGTCTGCGACTGAGGCGGGCGCCGAGGCCTGCGCCTTGTCTCGGCTACGGCTGTTTTTGCACCTCTTCTCGGCTCCCCAAGCTGCACAACCAAATGAAGGCGAAGGACAGAGTTGGTCAGAATATGAAAACATCGATTTTTGATCCTGTTGCTTAATCCCTCAGCCCCCAAACCTGAGGGAGCTAATTTTGCGCATTGCTATAGGGTAAAGGTATTTCATGCCTGTTTCCCAGGGGATCCTCTGAACTAAGACCAGTTGGAGTTAGATCCTCCCTGTACACACCGTCCGCCCGGAATATGCCCACAAAACGCCCCTGGGGCTGGGTCAGAGACTTACAACTAAGTCAAGCAGACGAAAAGACCTGGCCTCAGTGCTGCGAAACTGATGATCTGTCCCAGCGAAAAAGTTCCGGATTCTTGGTCTACGTTATTCATTTCTGCGACTCAGGCCCTCGAGCCGTTGCCTCCCAAGCTGGGCTCCCTACCCCTGGCACATCCTCCCGCGGTATGCAGAAAGACCCTGTAGAAGGCGCCTGGAGAAGGCCACTCTGCTGCCCGCGGAGAAACTGTGCGTCGCCTGCAGCGAACGGCTTCTTGTATTTTGCAGCCGTCACCTACCACCGCCCGTTGCTCACACCAATTAATTGAAAACTTCATTTTCCCAGGGACCTTTGTTTCGCTTTCTTTTCCAAGCTGCCAACTGTGGAGAACTGAGTAGGGCAAACTAAAAGGGCATTTTTTCCAAGCAAGGTTGGGTCTTGTGATAGGAGAAACTCAGAGTAACTGGGTCTGACTTCGAGGGTGTAGAGTGGGCACTGGGCAGCCCCTTTAGGGTGTCAGAGATTACAGTCCTGACCCCGCTTCATCCCTTCTTGCCAGTCCTCAGCCACAGAGCCCCAGCCCACCATCCTTCATTTTAGCTTAATGGAGAGCCAGTGTGAGTCCCGAGGTACATTTAAAGCTCCACCTTCGGAGTAACAATAGATTTGAAGAGCAGAGGGTGCTAGGGAGGGTGCAGAAGACCTCAGAGTGAGCCCATTTGATTCTGTATCATCTGCTCCCCAGGTCAGCCCATGAAAATCTCTGAGCCTGTGATTATTGGAGCCAATTTGTCACCTAGTCCCATTGTTCATGGATGGAGACAGGACCTTGATAGGGCAAGTAAAAAGCTAGGAAGGCCCTCCTGGGCCTTGCCTGGCATTGCAGGGTGGGCTCCTGGTGTTAGGAGTGTTGACACGCAAAACACCGTAACCATAAAAGGCTCAAATAAAGGGGAAAGTTATGAGAGGGGCGCTGGAAAGAAAAAGCAGGAGAATTTGTTTGACCTTTGTGAAGTCTTAGGTGTGTTTCTGATCAAATTCAAGACTGGAGGGATCTAAGCCTTTGCAGAAAATCATAGGGAATGTAAGTTTCCTGGTGAGAGCAGTTTTGACTATTTGAGAGAAGGCAAAAGTTAGCAACGGAAGCTGGATTGACATTTAAAAAATGCCAGCCCAAACCAACTGACAGAGTTGCTGACTTTCCAGCACCAAAGCAGTCATGGGCTGCTACCCTGAAATGCTCTTATTCTTCTAGTGTCTCCCTTTCTTTTTCTCAGAGAGGGAAAACAAGGAGATACTCTTACATTTTTTTTCTGTGGCCTCAAAAAATCAAATTTGTTGAAATAGTTCTGAGACGTAACTGTCACCAACAAATTTTCAGTTCTCTTAAAACTAAATGTCCCTGTGATTTTATGCCCAGGGACCTCTGTGCCATTTTCTAGCTGATAAATACATCTTAATAACTGATTATATGCTAAAAAATGAAGAAAATGAAATTAAGATATGAAGGAAGAATTTGTCAAGTTTTGCTGTTGTCAGACAGCCTTTCATTTTTGGCTTCATTTTCCATGCAGCAAATTAAGTTTGTGGAACTGGGAACAAAGTCTGAATTAATGCTCTGATTGAAACTACTTCTCAGTGGTGGTCATACCTCCAGTTGCCTTCCAGTGGGACTCTCATAGGACTCGGGGCTTCTCTGCCTATTCTAACAGGTGTCCAGAGACCTGGGAGGTTTTGAACATTAAGGAGCATTGCCTTTTGCTATCCTTCTGCTGAACCTGCTTTCAGTACAGCCTTTCAGGTCCTGGCTCTGGGAGAGAGAATTCCCCTCCGGAAAGAGGCTCTGACTGGACCCTGTGATGGCCCCTAAACCCAGTGCCCCAGGACAGCTGCTGCTGTTGGATCACAGAGTTGTAGTAGAGCACCAGGCAGAGTCAGGGCTGCTGTGTTTACAAACTAATAGGACACATAGTTTAAAGCCTGGGATGATAGGTAATGGGGGAATTTTGAGGCTGAATTTTCATTTAAATATTTTATTTAGCTTGTATACCCTGTGTCCAAGTTGATTTCAGGTGTAAACTTAATGGGAATAATTTTCTTTAACTGGCCAGAGACACAGACTAAACCCTGTATATGTATGTGGGTATATTACGTTAGGACTTTAACAACAGAGAGTCTTAAAGGAAAATCTTTTGCAACCAGAAATGTCTCCAAACACCGATGTGTTATTCACTGAAACCTGTTTTGTTTTGCCACCATTCCTGATTTTGGTTATACTCAAGATGGTCCTTCATTGCCCAAAGTCCCAGTTTATCAGAGAGAGACAGATCAGCTCTGCCCTCCTGTCCCATCTCTCGTTCCACTCCCTCCTTTCCCTCCACAAGCACCTTTTGGGAAATCGATGCTTTGAAGTCACATACCCTCTTTTCTTCCTTATAGATGATCTTTCAAGTAATGTTCCTGTCCTGGGTTCGGCAATGGGTAAATGCAGGCTGTGATTTAGACTTACGAAGAACATAAGTTCCTCTGCTTGCTAAGACACCAATGATCTCAATTCATTAGGGCCAGGACAACAATCACCGGGTCCTATCAGAGTGGGTTCCTGGAGACTCATTTGGAAGTGTTTTCCTTGATGGCCACACCAGGATATGCAGGACACCCTCCTAATTAACCTAGACAAAAATTCAGTGTCGAAATAAAGCTTTAATTCTGAAGTAAAGTCTTAAATCCAGTGGAACTGGCTGGAGAAACCTGTGTCCTGACAATTTTGGAGCTGATTTCCCTTGGCAGTGAGCAGCCAATATTTTGCTGGAAATATCAAAAGGATTAACAACAAACCTGGGGTAAAGAGAGGGGTCTCTAGCAAAAGCCAGACAGTGGAATCCCAAGTTTAGGCACTTTCTCTGCCTGAGATGTATTTCATTTATTTAACAACACAATTAGGCTTCATTAAATGTAAATTGTTTGCAAAAACTACAAAAAGCCACTCCAAACCCGAAGCATTATTTGTTAAAACAAGATCTGCCTCCCACAGAGCAGCAGTTCCTTGTTTGGGATGGAGAGAATGCCTCCAGTCCTGATGTGAATTAAACACAGTGAGTCTTCTTTCTCAGAGAAGCCCTAATCTCACTCACAGGGGCACCAGAGGGTGTGCCCAGAGCTGGAGGACAAGAATAATTTGTTGAATTTTCCCCAGAACAAAAACGGGGACTGCAAACAATTTTCCTCTGTTTTCTCTGTCATCTCAAGGTGCAGAGTTGTCCTGGGAGTACACCTCTCTAGCACTGTCATTGTTAACTGAAGCCCTCTCTCTGTTGGCCCTTCCAGATGAGAGAAAATAAATGTCCCTCTTTCTCTTTCCATTCTGCACAGGCTGCTGTCCCTTTGGGAAATCTACCGATCACTGGCAGGGGGAAGGGATGAAGGTTAGAGGAATGCCTAACCAGGAAGCGAAAGGGGTGGGAGTGAGGGCTGAAGGGAGGGAGATGGAGGGCCAATTGGTCAGGCTTAGCTTCCAGGCTGGGTGGTGCGCAGTTCCTCAGGCCTGGCGCTAGATGTCCCTGCAAGTTTTCCTGTCGCATTTGAGGGTGCACGAGCTTCAGGCAGCTCTGGGTAGCCCCAAGAGTCTAGGGAGAAAATATCCTCCACCCCCACCCATGGTTGTCCCTGGTGGGGCACCAGATTGTAGGGGAAAAGAGGAGGAGGACTAGAAACAACCGGAGAGTCCTGGAAGAGACAAGAGAGTGGGAGCACCGGCCTGCCAGGGGTGGCAGCAAAAAGTTGTCAATACAGAGTCTGGCCTAGAATCGTCAAACCCGTGTCTTCTCTTAAAAACTGAAATCTTCAAGCCAGGGAATCATTCTTAGCTTAAAGAAAATGTACCTGGGCTTAAAGCCCAGGCTCTTGCCATCCTGCTGTCCCACCACACCCAGTGCCCCCGGTCCTCGAGTGAGCTTACATCCTGATGCTTACTTGCAGATTTTGGCCTGATTGGCCAGGAGCCTGCTGCGCGTAAGACTGGAGCCAGGTCGGGCAGACATGGGGCTCCCACGCAGCTCCAGCTTTACAGGCACCCTACCCCCTACCCCAACCCTCCAGCAACCTGGACAGATTTTTATTACCTTCAGTAGAAAGCCAAAAGTGTTTACCACTTCACCCCAGAGGACGGGCCATGGCTCAAGAAACAAACATTTAGTCTAGAGGCCTAACATAAAAATTTAAGACTCTTACATGTAATTGCTCCTTTTGAGCAAAAATCACTTCAGTCCAATTG